TCGTGGGAAAGAAGCTGACACGAGATATCTGAACATGTATATTCATGTACTAGTTGTATGTTCATTACATATGACAAGAGGTATGACTTCAAGTTTCCTGTACTCAACCTTCCCATTACGCCCAGCAATAACCCAGCATCCTCGCCTTCGGTGTACATGTCACAACTTTTTAAGTCGAGCATGCTCTTTCTACGAAGACTTAGAGGAACCTCATACGTTCCTGCTCAAAAGTTGTTCGGTCAAGCTTACGACATTCCAGGCCTTGTCCATCAAAGCTTTCAAATGAATTATGGTTGGCATTTAGGGGACATTTTCAGATGTTCCAGATGTTCTTGTGTGTTCAGTGGGGAGCAATTGACTTGCCTTTGCAAGTGTTTATGACAGGTGACACAGGTGAGGCAGAATACTCTCGACCTTTCGCGAATTCCTGGTATAATCACTATTTGATGGTGAGGTATATACACATGTTCATGAAACAGCCTAGTCGTACAAGCGACTCCGCTCTTTGCGCAGATTTTAAGTGACTATGGAAAAGGTTTTGTCGCTAAATCATTTAGTTTACTACTGCAGTTACAGCATCCATACTTACAGATGGCTTGTGGCAGCTCACAACATAATCAGCTGATATTAGCACATGAAACTGTGGTGTGAAATCACAGAAGGGGCATAGTCGAGGTCTCGCCTTTACAAAACCAGGCAAAATGTATCACTTCTATACACAGTTTATTATGCGTTGACTTTCCACAAGCTGCATGTGTATGGATACAGCAAACTGTAGTCTATCAATATCGCCCGTCTTCATGTTCCCACCTCACAAGTTGTTGGTAGACAGTGTTCTTGCATATATCTCCGTAGTGTGAGTCAACACATGTGATCTATAGCACCATCACTCCACGCGGTTAACCTACCTTCTGTTTATATGTGAGGACATAATCAGCCCCCCTGCCTCACTCCCCTCCAAACAGCCTCTGTCAATTTTCCGCCACATTGGTCGCATTCGTTTATAGGAGGGTTATATTGGTAGGTGGGTACAGCCTTTGAAGAAGAGATGCGATGCAGGTGGGGTAGAACTCGTTCAGGTGAGGTACAAGGGCTGAGGTGAGGTGCAAGGGCTGGGGTAGGCGTGTCCATGTGTGTTAAGGTGACGAATTCAGTAAATGGAGGTTCAGGTGACGTGTGATTCGGGTGAGACCAGTTGTGTTCGGGTGAGTTGCGGTTACTCGGGTACGGTGAGGTTAGGCTGTCTGGACACGCGGCTTTTGGCACAGATATGAAAACTAGAAGCTTACAGTGAGACACGGTGATAACGGGAACATGAGGTGACACGTGATGGTAGATGAAGGTGATGCATGATGGTTGATGGAGGTGACACATGATGGTAGATGAAGGTGACACATGATGGTTGATGGAGGTGACACATGATGGTTGATGAAGGTGACACATGATGGTTGATGGAGGTGACACATGATGGTTGATGGAGGTGACACATGATGGTTGATGGAGGTGACACATGATGGTTGATGGAGGTGACACATGATGGTTGATGAAGGTGATACATGATGGTTGATGGAGGTGATACATGATGGTAGATGGAGGTGATACATGATGGTTGATGGAGGTGATACATGATGGTTGATGGAGGTGATACATGATGGTTGATGGAGGTGATACATGATGGTTGATGGAGGTGATACATGATGGTTGATGGAGGTGATACATGATGGTTGATGGAGGTGATACATGATGGTTGATGGAGGTGATGCATGATGGTTGATGGAGGATAGGTGATACATGATGGTTGATGGAGGTGATACATGATGGTTGATGGAGGTGATACATGATGGTTGATGGAGGTGATTATGGATGATGGTGGATGGATGTGATACATGATGGTTGATGGAGGTGATGGTTGATGGGTTGATGGAGGTGATGTGATGGTTGATGGAAGTGATACATGATGGTTGATGGAGGTTGATACACGATGGTTGATGGATGTGATATAGTGGATGATGGTTGATGGAGGTGATGGTGGTGATGGAGGTGATACATGATGGTTGATGGATGTGATACATGATGGTTGATGGAAGTGACACATGGTTGATGGATGATGCGATACATGATGGTTGATGGAGGTGATACATGGTGGTTGATGGAGGTGATACATGGTAGTTGATGGAGGTGATACATGATGGTTGATGGAGGTGATACATGATGGTTGATGGAGGTGATACATGATGGTTGATGGAGGTGATACATGATGGTTGATGGAGGTGATACACGATGGTTGATGGAGGTGATTACATGATGGTTGATGGAGGTGATACATTGATTGATGGATTGATGATATGATACGATGATAGTTGATGGAGTGATACATGATGGTTGATGGATGTGATACGATGATAGTTGATGGAGGCGATAAACGATTTATTGATGGATATGATACCACGATGGTTGATGGAGCGGGTGATACATGATGGCTGATGGAGGCGATACATGATGGTTGATGGAGGTGATACATGATGGTTGATGGAAGTGATACACGATGGTTGATGGAGGTGATATCATGGTGGTTGATGATGGATAAGTGACGGTTGATGATTTGATACGATGGTTACGATTTGATCGATGGTGGATGTGATACATACGATGGTTGATGGAGGTGATGATAATGATTTATTGATGATGAGTGATTTACGATTTATTGATGGATGTGACGGCGGTTAGGCAGATTGAGCCGGATTAACACGATTTGGTTCGATTTGATGCGATAAACGATTTATGCGATGATTGGATGGAAGTGACATGATGGTTGTCGATGTCGATGGTTGTCGGTGATGGATACGATTTCATTGGCAGACGTGATGCGACACGATGGTCGATGGATGCGACACGTGATTTATTGATGGCGACAAGATAATATGATGGCAGACGAATATGATGGATGGTTGATGGATAAGACACGGAATGATTTGATGACACCTGCGACGAATATGGATATGGTCGATTTGATGCGATTAATATGATGGCTGATTTGATGCGATTACCACGATTTGCAGATTTAGCCGCGATACACGATGGCTTCGATTTGATAAGATTACACGATTATCGATGGATATGATACACGGTATATTGACGGAGGCGATCAAAAACGATTTGCCGATTTGACATGACCAACGATTTGGCAGACGAATGCGACGCACGACGGCTGACGATAAAACGTGGATGCGGTGACGAATATGATACACGATACCGATTGATAAGTGACAATACGATGGCTGATTTGATGCGATACACCACGGCAGACGAATGCGACAACACGATTTGTCAATTTGATGCGATTACCACGATTTGGTTGATTTGATGTTAATACGATTTAATGATTGATATGACGACGGCAGGATACCGCGATACGACGATGAATACGATGATGATTATATCAGATGATGCGACAATAATGATTTATCAGATTTCTGATGATACACGATTTATCGATTGATGATCAATAATTTATTTTGGCAGACGAATAAGAGATTACGATTTATCGATGATACGATAGGTCGGACGGATATGATTACACGATTTATCGACGATGCGACACGATGGTCAGATTTCTGATATGACACACGATTTGGCCGACGGATGCGATTACGACGGCCGACGGATAGATGACGGTCATTTGATAAGATTAAACGATACGATGGATGATAAACGATTGATTGATTTGATGCGATTAAAATGGCTGATTGATAAGATTACTACGATTTGGCTGACGGATATGATACGATTTATCGATGCGGCGACCAATACGATTTGGCAGACGAATATGATACGATTTATTAGGATGATATGATACGACGAATATCGATGCGACGTCAGGATTTAGACACGACGGTCGATCATCGATTTGATGCGATCACACGGCGGTCAGATTTGGAGCGATGATACGACGGTCAGATTGATATGATACACGATTTATCGACGATTTACCACGACGCATTGACGATGTCACCACGACGGTCAGACGATGATCAAGATCAACGATTTGGCATGCAGCGCGACAACACGATTTGGCTTCGATGGATATGATTACCACGATTTATCGATTTGATATGACACGACTTACAGGATTGATGCGATTACCACGATTTACCGATGCGATGTTGATTAATCACGATTGGCCGACGGATAAGATTAACTGACGATCGATTTACGGCGACGCATGATTTGGCCGATGGATAAGATCACCCGATTGATTGATCGATCCGACAATACGACATCGACGGATGACCGCCACGACCGGACGACGACACGACGGCCGACGGAGGTGACACGGCCGACCGAAGGACGGAGGACACACGACGCCGGACGGACGACACACGACGGACGACACACGAGCCCGATGGACAACGGATGGAGGACACACGACAAGAACGGAGGTGACACGGAGGACACAACGGACAACGGAGGTTTACGACACGACACGACACATGACACACGGATGGAGGATAAATGAAGGACACGACGGAGGACACACGACATGGACAAGGACAGACATGACACGAAGACAGACAACGGAGGCGGAGGTGACACACGACACACACGGACGGAGGCACGAGACGACGACACGACACATGACGACAGACACGACGACGATGACGAAGGACACACGGATGACGGACGGACGACACGACGGAGCGGACGACGAATGACACACGACACGATGACGACACTACGAATGACGACGACGACGGAACATGACACATCGACGACACACGCGAGGATCAACGACACATTATTTATTGACGACACCGACACGACGAATGGACACGGAATGGACAGACACATGGACAGACAAGGATGGACAAGACAAGACGACGGATGGACACAGACGACAAGAGACATGACGGAGGTGGACACACAGACGAGGACAGACACAGAAAGAGGACGGTGATGACACACACGGAGGACACAGGACGAAGGACACACGACACGAGGAAATGACCGACACAGGACACAGAGACACGGACAAGGAAGGACACGGACAGAAAGAAGGACACGAGACGACACAAGACACGATGGACAAGGACAACGACACAGAACAAGGAGGACACAAGGAGGACGGACAAGACACACGAAGGACGGAGACACACAGGATGGAGGACACACAGGACGGACGACACAGGACGGAGGTGACACGAAGAGGACGGACGACACACAAGGACACACAGGACACAGAACATGGACGGAGACGGACACAGAAAGAGGATGGACGGACACAAGGACACAGACACATGGATGACAAGGACACAGAAGGACGACATGGAGGAGACACAGGGACACGAGACAAGGAGGGAAGGACACTGACACAGGACAAGGAGGACACACAGAAAGGACAGACACACAAGGACGGAGACACATGGAGAGTGGACACAGAAGGAAGGATGGACGGAGACACACAGAAGGACAGACACACAGAAGAGGACACGGACATGGATGGACACACAGAAGGACAAGGAGACACACATGGACGGACACAGAAGGAGACACACAGGATGACACACAGACACACAAGGAGGAAGACACAGGATGGAGGGACGGACACACAGGAGACACAGAAGGACGACACAGAAGACACAGGAGACACAGAAGAGAGGACACGACAGAGGACACAGGAGGACACAGGACACACAAGGACGAGAGACACAGAAGGATGAGATGGAGACGACACAGGAGGAGGACAACACAGAAAGGGTGGAGATGACACAGAAGGATGGAGACACATACAGAAACGAGGGACAGGAGATGATACAGACAGAGAGGGATGGAGATGGAATACAGAAGGGAGTGGAGAAGGAGACAGACAGAAGAGGGAGGAGATGACACAGAAAGTGGATGATGACACAGAAGAGGATGGATGGAGATGGATGACACAGAAGAGGGATGGAGATATCCACACAGAAGAGGTGGAGAAAGAGAAGATGGAGATGATACAGAAGAGGGATGGAGGATGACACAGAAGAGGGATGGAGATGATACAGAAGAGGGATGGAGATGATACAGAAAGAGATGGAGATGAAGAGGGATGGAGAGAGGGATGGAGATGATGAAGAGGGGAGGATGGAGATGATACAGAAGAGGGATGGAGAAGAGGGATGGATGACAGAAGAGAGGATGGAGGACAATACAGAAGAGGGATGGAGATGAATACAGAAGAGGGATGGAGAAGGGATGGGATAATACAGAAGAGGAGACATGGAAGAGGATGGAGTAACACAGAAGAGGGATGGAGATGATACAGAAGAGGGATGGAGATGATACAGAAGAGGGATGGAGATGATGGACAGAAGAGGGAGGAGGTGAGAAGAAGAGGGATGGAGATGATACAGAAGAGGGATGGAGATAATACAGAAGAGGGATGGAGATGATACAGAAGGGGGATGGAGATGATACAGAAGAGGGATGGAGATGATACAGAAAGAGGGATGGAGATGAATACAGAAGAGGGATGGAGACAATAGGAAGAGGGATGGAGATGATACAGAAGAGGGATGGAGATATAGAAGAGGAGAATGGAATGATGCAGAAGAGGGATGGAGATGATACAAGAAGAGGGATGGAGATGATACAGAAGAGGGAGATGAAATAATACAAGAAGAGGGATGGAGATGGAATACAGAAGAGGGATGGAGGATGAAGAGACAGAAAGAGGGATGGAGATAATACAGAAGGGATGGAGACAATACAGAAAGAGGGATGGAGGTAATACAGAAGAGGGATGGAGATAATACAGAAGAGGGATGGAGATAATACAGAAGAGGGATGGAGATAATACAGAAGAGAGGAAGATGGAGATAATAGAAGAGGGGATGGAGGAGGATAATACAGAAGAGGGATGGAGATAATACAGAAGAGGGATGGAGACAATACAGAAGAGGGATGGGGTAATACAGAGGAGATGGACACAGAAGAGGGATGGAGACAATACAGAAGAGGGATGGAGATGATACAGAAGAGGGATGGAGATGAATACAGAAGAGGGATGGAGATAATACAGAAGAGGGATGGAGATGATACAGAAGAGGGATGGAGATAATACAGAAGAGGGATGGAGATGATACAGAAGAGGGATGGAGATAATACAGAAGAGGGATGGAGATGATACAGAAGAGGGATGGAGATAATACAGAAGAGGGATGGAGACAATACAGAAGAGGGATGGAGGTAATACAGAAGAGGGATGGAGATAATACAGAAGAGGGATGGAGATAATACAGAAGAGGGATGGAGATGATACAGAAGAGGGATGGAGATAATACAGAAGAGGGATGGAGATGATACAGAAGGGGATGAGGGGATGATGATACAGAAGAGGGGATGGAGATGATAGGGAGGAGAGGGAAGATGGGATGGATACAAAGAAGAGGATGGAGATAAAGCAGAAGAGGGATGGAGATAATACAGAAGAGGGATGGAGATAATACAGAAGAGGGATGGAGATGATACAGACGGGGATGGAGATGATACAAAATAGGGATGGAGATGATACAGAAGGGGGTTGCAGGTGATACAGAAGAGGGCTGGATATGATAAAGGTGTGATACAGAAGGGGGCAGGTGATCATATGATACAAGAGAGAGCAGATAATGCTGTGGGATGGGAGGTGAAGATGACATAGACAGAGGGTTGGAGATTATGCATGACATACTGCGGTGACCTGGCAAAACGGCCCATATTGGGAAAACTGTAAATTAGCACAGACCGTTTTTGTCTCCAAACATCAAACGCTAAGTACGTGCCTCTAGTTTTTACATTAAAGACCACCTGCATCCTGCTTGCCCTAAACGCGTGAACCATCCATTGTTACATTGGGAACAACACCAGTAACAAGGGAAGGCCCAAAACTATTCATACGCTACAGTCCGACCGTACATGCATCAAGGCATGCATCGAGACAACATGACGGTTATACTGATGGAGAACACTGCTCAACCAACCCACTGTGCCTCTGCGCGGCTGCGGGACATATCACTGGTGCTTCAATTTCCTTGGGCGTTCTCTTCACGTGCTGAGTTTATGGTGATGATCGTATTCTCTGTTCGCTGACAAAATATTAATTACAGTTTCGGTTCAGGTTACTGGATTTATAGGATGCAATTAGGACAAACTTTAATGCATGTAAACAAACTTGAAAGTGTTCCGCATTTTTTGGCGACGCAAACTCAAACAGATTTCCACACTGACAAACAGAGTTCCGGCAAATACAAGCCCGAATCGGTGGCGTATAGTCAGTGTATGGAAGTATCCGCTGGAACTAATAGTATTACGTCTAGATTAATACAAGATATTTCGAATTTCGTTATGCAGTTTGAAGCAAGCTTATGACTTCATTAGAATTAATTTTTCGAATCAACGAGTTAATATGTGCCACATGTTTGAATATTCATGTGTTAAATAAGTTAGAATGTAAACAAAAAGGTAGCATGAAGTTCTATGCTTAATTCGTCCTTAATGGAACTTCAAGGGCTTTGGGTTAGTTCACCGTCCAACCACCACGGTTTACAAGGGAAAGGTCTCGGGGCTGGAAAGTTGAAACAATTTGGTATAAACATTAATTCATTCTGTGAAGGACGGACTTCTATCACAACTTCCCCAGAGTGTGGTTAAGCCCACTTCCGCCAGTGCAGAAGACCTCACTTGTGTGCTCTATTCACGTCAAATTAAGCCTTACAAAGTTAGTGGGGAGATTGCACAATTGAGGGCGACTCTTGAATAAATGTTGGTATCTGAGACTTACGTGGACATCGATAGTTTCACGTCACAAAAGTGGTTTCAGAGTACAGAAGATGAACTAGATTATCAAGGTCACAAACTTTTTAATACCCAAATGCATTTTACGCTGTGAAAGAAAGAATGATGTATTATAACATCAGATTTATTTTACCCTCTGAAAATGTTAAGTGTGGATTAATTTCAAGTGGGTGGGGGGGGAGACAAGAGAGAATGTTAGGTGTTCGAACTTCCCCTCATCTCTCTCTCTCTCTCTCTCTCTGTCTCTCTCTCTCTCTCTCTCTCTCTCTCTCTCTCTCTCTCTCTCTCTCTCTCTCTCTCTCTCTCTCTCTCTCTCTCTCTCTCTCTCTCTCTCTCTCTCTCTCTCTCTTGCATTACAAAAATGGTACTGTGAGCACTACGGACTACAAATGCGCTGGCATTCGCTCCTTCGTTAACGACAATATATTCTTTCATCCATTAGTAACTTTGCCACAAATCCACGAGAAACATGATTTCTTTTGGAACAATATGTGCTTGGCAACGGTATAAATCTTGCTTAACAACGAGAGTATCTCTATCGAAACGATTTTACAGTATAATAGAGAAGTTATCCATTCATTGTATACTTCGTCACCCTTCGACTTCAAAGAAATGTCCGTAAACAACATGTCATAATGTGCATTCAAAATGATAATACATGTCAATGACCCTAAAACAACCAAACTCAATTCGGAAAGTATAAATCATATCATATGATAGTTTAAACCTACAGCAGCTTTTTCAGGCCCGATTATATTTTTATAGTATATAGGAGCTGGCCCGGGGGCGTTGTGAAAAATAAATCAAGAAGTTGTTATCCATAATATTTGTCTTGTACTACACCGTCTAGCAGGGTCAGCTGTGGCCCTCTCTCTGCTTATCCACTTACTCACCTTACAGGTTTTTAGTCCTCTCTGACTATTGAAGCACAGTGTCGATATCAGCTGAATGACAAATGTAACGACACTACAACAAGATCATTGTGCTGAAGACTTATGGAATAAATTTTATATTACAGATTGCAATATATATATATATATAACCTACAACCAGAGATTGCTTAATCCACTCAGCCTGGGGCCTAACCGATTATCCTCCATTACCATCGTGTTGATCCGGTCTTTCATCTCGGTTGCTGTTATTAGCTATCACAACATCGACAACGGGTCGCCTTGTTTTCATTCTCTAGCTCGCATCTCGCAGGTTATTGTAAAAACAACTTTCTTAATCGGCGGCTAATTACACAGAAATCGTTTGATGAGCTGAGTGGATGTGAAAAAATGTTTGGTATTATTCGGCGTCGTTGTGTCTCGAATGATTGTGGCGATCGCGTGCAGATTTTTTGTGTGGAATTTTAATATAATGCTTTAATATAACAGAAAGCGTTAAAACTGGCACTGTTTTGAAAACAACTTAGGAGTATTTGGTTAGTGTACATTTGTTCTAAATGAGGAATTTGGAGAAATGCGAATTATTTTATCTGTTAAGAAATATATTTTCTAACTGAATAAGATCTACTGGTGTTCATGGTTCATTCATATCCGGTGGTTTGACAGTATTATCGTCTATGTGCTGAAGTGACGGGCTTGACGGGGGCGATGGGTTAGCCTTGTGGTTAAAGCCCTGCTCATCACGCCGTAGGCCCGGGTTCGATTCCCCACATGGGTACTATGCGTGAAGCCTATTTCTGGTGCCCCTCGCCATGATGTTGCTGGAATATTGTTAGGAGCGGCGTAAAACCAACTCATTCACTCATTTACTTGACGAAAATACTCACGTACTTGAGTGTGTAAACCACTGGGCTTCCTAAGGATTGAATGATAGAGATGAGTCTTTTAATGTAAATACTCGTAAGGGTTATATAGACTGCTTGCAATGTATCTTGGTTGTGACTGAAGTTTGTTTG